TTATAAGGGAATTTGTTCCTCGGGGAAGATGAGTTAATTGATCTTCTTCTCCTCGATGGCATCACACTTGAAGTCATGCTGGCTATCATATTGTTATACTGAGCTGTCCTACTCAGTTCTTCTGTTGACCGTGCAGCTTCTCCTGGATAGTCAATGGGGGTCTACTTTGCTGAAACTTTTACAGATTTTAGAACCCACCCCAGAAACACAAACTTTGTCTCCTGGGTTTAGCTTTCAGAAGATATTTGTTCCCGCCAATGACTCAGAAAAGTAGAAAGAAGGGTCGAGGGAGGGGGGGGGGGCGGTTCTTTGAAATTTTAGCGACTGTAGTCTAGTCATGTTCTTTAGAGCATCCGGATAAGTCCAGAGATAGTTTAATAACACCAGGATAAAACACCTAGGCTGCCCCTTCGCTTAATTTTGTTTTGTTTTGTTAAGTTTTTAAAGACAAGAATCAGTATCGCCCCTCCCCCCTCTTCCCCAACCCCACCCTCAACCTGCCTCTCCTCCATTACATCGTTACTGGATGGATTATAGTCACCATTATCTATAGACCAAAAACGCTGACTTTTTATGACGAAAGCAGCATATCGATTTCTCTTGTGGACAACCTTGCATACTAGTGTAAAATCTAGTAATAAATCGGTTAATGATCTCATGGTAACTCTGCCTGAACCACGTATACCGCTGACACAATCATATATTTTAAATGTTGATGATAATGACACTGACAAATCGGTGGATGGAGGGCGCCACTGGTAGATCCTACTTCTTTGCTTGACACTCTGTTGTTTCTGTCAGTCTGTCTTACCTTTTTTCCAACCCTAAATGGCCTTTGTTGTGTCGATGTGCTTCTCTTTACTCAAACAAGACACGGGCAATCTTTATTCATCTTGCAAGGAGAAATGTTGGGCATCTTGGTGAGATCAGGCGCTCGTCAAAATAATGAAATTATGGAAATCGGCATTTTTATGCTTGTTGAGCAGTTTTTATCCATTTAAAAAAAAACACCTTTTATGTCCATTTGAAGACACATTTCTGAGTGGATTTTATTGAGACACCTTGATCAAAGGCACCATTAAAAAAAATAATAAATGTTAAATTGCAGTTCCCAAGGACACTAAAGCTTTTGAAGTCACCAACATTTGGCAGCCATTTTCTCCCTAATTTTACTTTTGATTCCAGGCGACGGTACCCCACTTCCTAGGGCCGCAAATATCTCGACTTCAATTCATGATATGCATGGAATATTAAGTTCTAAAATCAGTGTGACTAGGGAAATAAAGCTTCTTTTTATTCAAAGTGCTTCAAAACAGCTCGTTTTCAAACGTTGTTGAATGAACACAATGAGTTAAGCTCTTCTACCCACTGCGCCTAAGTTGAACTTTTAACATTTTGTAAGTGGGTGGTTGGCGGGTTCTCTGGTGTAGGTTGCTCCTTTTTTCTTAACAAACATCTATCGTCCTTTTATATCTCGTTTGTGTGTGGTTGTTTGTTACTGTATTGTAAACGCCTCTAATCTTCGGCACTTATATGACCAAATTGTGTTCCAAGTACCTTAAAACACTTACTAAAACAAACAGACAAAAGAAGAATATTTGGTAAAGCTACACCAATGTACATCCTCTTTGAAATACGGCATATACAGGCCGAGGGGCTAGACCCAAGGTGGCCGCTGGATCGGAAAAGTAAGTAAAGAAATACGGCATGTAAAGAATATTTTTAAAATCTTATATAGTACAAACTACGCACTCTTTAGCAGAAGTTTGAATTTATCACTGTTCACCAAGATGTGACAGAGCTGAGTGAACGTCAAAATGACACTGGGCGTAATATCTGTGATATTTAGACACCTCTGCATAAAATTGCGCTGAAGGTTAAATCTCTAGTATAATACCGTTATCACAGCCACAGCGCGAGACAGTAACTGTGAGCTTTGCTGTAAATCACAGTATCACTGTCGCGATGAAGGACAACTGTATAAAGAAAAAAATGACCCTGGACGCCTCTGGTGAACTTTGAATTGACTGAATGACATTGATAAATGATTACGTTTTTTTTATGACAGTAATGTTCAGTCAATGTCCAAGCATCTGCGTTTGTTGCCATTTTATTGTCCAAAAGTTGCCACAAAAAATGGCAAAAGTTGCCATAAAAGTTGCCAATAATTTTCAAACTTTCAGCTCTCTGTGACGACAAATATAGCAATATGTTGATAGAGGTAACTTAATCTAAAGCACCAGAGTTTCTAAATTCTTGTGTTCTGTTTCAAGCACCCAGAAGATCATTTATTGTAGCCACACAGAGTGTAAAAAGGTGAAAAATAAAAGTTTCACAACAGAATGAAATCACACTTAGAACAGAACATAGACAACCACAAAAAAAACAAATAAGGGCGTGTGTCCGTCTATCCGGAGAGTGGCTGTTTTAACCCTAAGCGTGTGTTATTCAAGAAAAAGTACAGGATATTACATGTAAATTATGGAATCACACACAAGGCCCGGCCAGTGTCAGTACATGTACATGTATTCAGGTTTGGTGGAGACACGCTCTCACATATAAGGCTTTTATTTTTTTATATAAAGGTAGGAACAACATCAAATTAAATGATATTAACATTACGATAAACAGAAAAAAATAGAAAACACATCAGAACAATATTTAGAAAAGAAAATAACACAGCAGCAAATTAAAACACATATTAGAGAGAAAAATCAAAGAGAAACAGCAATATAAGATAGTATGTAATGAACAATACTTTTTTTCACATGAAAATAACTAAACGGCGGGTCAACAAATGAGAAAGAGAAGAGGTAAAGCAGAAGGGAAAATAAACTTTCTTTCTAAAAGTAGAGAGGTTCGGTTTCTTTCTTTTTTTTCTTTTTTTTTTCTTTTTTTTTTTCTTTTTTTTTTTT